ATCCATTGGTAATGCATGCAATGTGTTATATTATTCTTCATGCGAGCTAGCGCATATCGTAACCAGATGCATAGGATATGATTGAAGAGGAGTGCACTCGACGTTCACCAAGCTACTGCCCGAGATAGCGTAGCACGAAGCACATGCGTACTGATAGCAGTACCGACAAGATGCACCTCTTGCTTTACACGCCTTCACTTTGTCTGATCATATAAAATCTGTGGGCGCTAATAAGATATCGAAATGCATCTTGTTCAATCATTAGGGATAATGCACAGCACCAACCGCTGAGGAAATCGAAGGGCGCACTGCAGACATATGTCACACCCTGTAAGTCTTTTGCCCTTGCTCACGCAAACTCGAAACTTTTAAGGTCCTACTCTCCTGTACGGAGCTCTGGTGCGTAATTTTACAGTGAAACTGGGTGTCTATCTGTCTCAGTCTTGGATCGAATTTCAGATTTTGAAGTGCAACGTCTGTGCGTTCTTGGTCACCCTCAAACTTCCTTCTTGACAACTCCTTTCTGTCTTGTATTGTACCGCCTGCCTCCGTCTTGTGAGTCCTGAGCCAGCTTAGGCCCCCTTGCTTTCCTTTTCGGCCACTGTTGTACATGTGTAGACACAGAATCTGCAGTTTTGTTAGAGTGCAGCCGCTCCGGGCTGTGCCCAGCAGGTTGAACTGCAAGGGAGGCAAAACTGGCACTGGGGGAGAGCGGTGGCTTGCACTGTACTGCATCTCGATGAGCTTGGCGCGCTCTGCTGGGCTTCAAAGAAGGAACATCCCCTTCGTTTTTTGTGGCCTCTTGTCTACTAGTAAACTCTGATCCAGGGATCTCAATTTCGGGCTCATATCCACGTCCAGTGCGAAACTCCGGCAAATCTTGTTTTTGAGAAGAGCTTGAGGCTGCTTCATCGTCGAGTGTCTGTTTGTGCTTTTTCCCTTCTTCGCCCACACTCTCTGCAGCTTCACTGGAAGCACGTGGCAGTGGCTCGGGTTTCACGTGGGCCGCTAGCGGCTGGGTGCATTGCAACGTTTTGACATCACGCCTTCGCGTCTGGGGTTCTTGAGTGCTGGACAGCAAGGATGTCATCATCGGGGGATCTTGAGCTCGCCTTGGCGCTTGACTTTTGTTGACCTTTCTTGAGGGGCAGCTTGAATTCTCGCATTTGCAGCTGCTTTCGATGATCCCAGCCGTCCCGTTCTGGCCCAAAGGGCTACTCGGGCTAGAAATGCATGCAACTCGAGCTTCTGCTAAGAGCTCCGCACGAGTACACCAAGGCTTCTGCTGGGTGCGAGATTCCCCTTGACTTCTCTGGGTGCCAGAGTTTACACGCAGTTCCTTCTAAAGATCCAGTGTTAATTTAGGCAAACAGAAGAACTCGCATAGCGAAGGAAATGGTGAGCCCTACCAAAAGGGGTTGCCAAGACGAACCGTATTCTACGGCTACGGAACCTTCGCTCCGTTGTTCTCTCCTGGTTTCATCTTCCGACTTCTTCGTCAGTCGTATTCTACTCGACCTGCCAGGCCCTGAATACTCCAGTAAATGCGAATTTCTGTAAGAAATTTACGCCTCTACCTCCTTATCACTGCATTGGTCAGCTGGGCCAGAACTCGTTCAAATTCCTGAAACACACATCTGGAAACTCCTTAGGTCCCACTACACCCGACTATTCGCGGCCCACCAAATCTGAAAGCTCCGGATTAGACTTTCTAGAAGAAAAACCTGCAATCAGAGATGCATGTGCTCGTGGCATCTGGGCAAGACGGCATGATGAAACCTACAGACAGCAACTTTGAGGAGCAGCTGTCCATCTAGCTTCAGACTCTACAGCATATCGAGACGTCTCCGGGATACTTCTCCGGCATTCGTGTCATCAGATTACCGATATCGCTTTCGCGAGACGAATCTCGCCAGGTTCGTCATCAGCTTTAATATGAATTTTGCACTTCTCGATGACTTCGAAACAGCACAGCAAAGCCTGCTACTGACCGGCAGCAAAAAGTGTAAGAAGCCAGGCGGGAATGGGGAAGAGGGTCTGAAAAGCCATCCGTGGCTCATACGATCGGAGAGCGTAAAATGATTAGGCGCACTAAGTCTGATTCGCCGAGTAGAGCTCCTATCAGACACACTTCGAAGAAGTTGGAAACGCTGGAAACAAAAAGAAGCATGAAGATAGGCCCACTAAGACTCATATTGCATTGTTACTTTGGACAGAAGATGGTTCTAATTTGCCGGACTGCTTCTTTTGATGACTCGAAATCTGTGCATAAGGCGCCTTTCCGGGCAGCTATGTGAAATACATGCGGTGCCGAGTTTTCACTTGGAGCCGCTTAATTTGCCTACCGAAGTAATTAGCCGTCGCCGATGCGCAGTGGTCTGGTGACAGGCTTCCTGCGTGTCTCCTGCACCACTGGCGGAGGCGCTCTCTGCCTGCGGTGTACTCCTTGTTCTGATGGCTGTGGCACGCTCTAATGATTTTCATGTCTCAAAAACTACGTGGTCTACCTGCACACAAGCAGCAATATGTTCGTCATGATGCTAATCCTCGGTTTCTTCATGACTTCACAGGGCAACGAGAGCCTTGATCCACTCCCACGGGAACCCACTCGCACACGAGAATTTGTCTCAAGTGAACTCAGATTGCGTTTAGCTGTGCGGCGAGGGCTGCTGCTGGGGCTTTTAGCTGATGAATTTTCTATTGTTGAGCATGATCGCTGCACGGATACTTCTTCAGGTGTGCCACATTCTGCAACTGTTGCTGTGCTGGAGCACACGCCTGATTTGGGGTGCAGCGAAATTCAGCCTTGAAAAGTGAAATCATGCCGCTTACCGCTTTCAGCTACAGCACAACCTTCAACAATTGGCTGCGCATTCTCTGGTAAATTAGAGACACTCTCTGGTGCCACTTGGTTTCCCGATGTGTTGAGCAATGGTTCACTAGCATTAGCCACACGCGGTAACTCTAAAATATCTTGGCTGTAAAATCCACGAGACCCCAAAGCGCTGAAGGCAGGCATTGTTGAGCTAGTTTGAACGCGTGCGCAGGCAGACAGATCTACCGAATGCCGGTTGGGCTGGGAAAAGCAAGCTGCGTCAGCAAAGCAGGATAGCCGTGAGATGTGCGATTGAGTCGGGTCTGAAGCGCGAGAGGTTTTTCTCAGCAGAGGTGTATACCGTGCTGTGGCATGCCCCCCGTTGACACCTGAGTGCTGTTTTGTATCAGCCAACAGGCGTTGAGAGCCTTGACGGCACAGTGCACTTGGGTGGGAGCTCGTGTGCCATTCCGTTGCGCATGCAGCATCATAGTCATTCCGGAGGCCGTTCCCTTTTAAGGTGGCTGGTTCTGCCGAACAAGATGCTGCACGGCAAACTGAATGGAAAAGGTGTGCCTGAGAGTTCACATTGCCTGTCTTCCTCAGAGGCCCAGAGAAATGCGGAAATACAGGCAGTGTTTGATACTGCGAAGCTGAACTGAGTAAAGGCGGTGAGTGCCTTGTTAGCGCCGAAGATTCCATGGCGCTGTAGCGGTGTGATTTCAGATTTTCATGATGAGTAACTTGAACACTGGGCGGGAAGGAAAATTTACAAATCCGAGATTCGGGATACTGCTTGCTATGCATATAGTTCGCGCTAGGCACAGTTTGCTCGCTGTGTAGCTTTTGCGTATTATATTGGTCGATGGCATGTCTTCCATCGGTCCATTCACTCAGCAAGCCAGTTTTCCCCGCGTGATGTGTGTGGGGCGAAAGCCAATATCTTGGGTGCTGGATAAGGTGGTTCGAACAGAAGAAAGCAAACTACACAGAATAACTGCTTTACGTTTTTGTTATTAGGCCGTGTATCATTCTTCCGCGACTCGATTGAGGCATTTGCCCACACATTGGGCAGAAGCTTATGGTCAGAATTTTCTCTAATCTGTAGTAAGTGCGCAGCTGAAGTGAAGCATGCGTCCCTTCTTACGACTTACTGAGTCTCGCCTGGCTGCCTTTTTGTCACTGCAGCCACCTGTGCCAGTACTTTGCTTCTGGTCCTCTACCCCTCCCTGAGCCCAGAACGCGAGTGATGAGTATGTATTCTAGAATAAGTCACAAAGAAACCAAGCTGACCGCTTCTTTTTCACAGACTTCACCTTGATGACAGTACACCGTTTTGGACGACCTTTTCTCCACAGGCTGTGCTGGGCCCCTGTGAGATTGGATTCTGTGTTGCCGCCATTCAGAATCATGGAATTGGGGTTGATGCGGCTCTGATGAAGGCTGGAAGAAGAAGTGTGATGCAACACAAAAGCATGCGCCCATAACAGTCAACAAAGCACACCCCATCTGAAACATAAACATGAAGGCAATCCCCAACTCGGAAGCCATGGCTGCTTCCAGCTGCACCGCACATTATTGCTTAGTGAAAGAGCTTTTGTAAATGAAAGGCGTGCCCAACATTTCTACCACGATCAGCAAGCAGTGCAGTGTGCCAGCAGCATTGATATTCAGACTACGTCATGTGCAGGGTGTACACACAGCTAGACACAGGATTCGTTTTCAGCTTTGCTGTAGCGTCATGAAAGCAAACGACTTAGGTAAGCGCGTAGCGCTTTTGCCAATGAACTGATGGCCAGCATTTTGCAGATGCTCGTGTCACTGCCTGCAGCTTTCAGAATTTGTCTTTCGCTGCCATCCTCGCCTGTGCCTCCCCGCCCCTCCCCAATCCCGGCGAGAACCAGCCGTACCGAAACGCCTTCAATTTAGTACGGTTTATGGTTTTATGCGACCCCTGTAAAATTATGACAACACGGCAGCGTCCTGGTCTTAACACAAAAAACTGTATTTTTCCGCGTAATGGAAACGTTGTTCAATATTTGCCTAGTGACGATTGTAAAGCATTAACGTAGCGTCAAATCGAATTAACCACGAGCCTACAAGGCCGCAGTTGGCCAGATGCCAACACCACACACGCTTACAAAATCACGAGGCGCTGTGCTGCACGACTACACGGCGTGACTTTTCATGTTGAATTGTTTCGTGAGACTGCAATCGAGGCTGTCACCGCTGACTGCCGACGCTTGACGCGTTTCGGCACTGCATTTCCCGGCAGATCCACCTCTGAGTCATGCGGCACAGCGCTCTTCCGCATTCTCTTCCCAGATGACACTTTGTCTGCGTCATCCACAACGCAGCTCGGCACGACAGCTGCTGGACTGCATCGCTCACTCGGTGCGAGTTCTGCACCCTTTGAGTCTCCGGGTGCAGACCTGCGCCTGGAAGCCGTCGTGCGAGATACTGTAGCGCCACACAGCATAGGAGCAACTGTGGGTGTTTTCTGGTGAGATGTCTTGTTTTCCGTGCTGTATGAGGCAGATCCACCTTCCTGGCCACTTAGAGTCGCCGCTTCTGTAGCCTCGCTACGCTCAGCTGCCCCCCTTGCCAGCTTCGCAGCGAGGAGGGCTGCTGCCGCGACATGGGCAGCAAGTGCAGCATCTTTCGGATTGGTTTCGCCAGCGGCAGCAGCAGCTGCTGCGGCGGCAGATGTTGCAGCGATACCAGCAGCAGCTGCTGCTTCCGAGGCAGTGTCTACCCCGCTTGGCCATAAAATAGAACTAGGAGAAACAGAGAGAGACCTCCTCTGCTGAACGTTCGAGTTGAGGCGAAGCTCTGCACCTTCACTCACCGTCGCTGCATCTGCTGCTGGTGCCGCATGCGTGTGTTGCTGCTGAGACTCTCCCACCGATTCAGACCATTTTGCGAAGAAGGCATGTAATTTGCCGTTGGCGCTTGGCGGTGACGGGTTACCCACTGCCTCACCCCTATCCTTTGTCTGCCCTGCTGCTGGCGTTGCTGCCGGGGTGGCTGCATCTGGCACTGATGCTGCGGCAATGCAATTCTGTTCTTTCTTCTCGTTGGTTTCAACGAGCGCATTATTAGCCGCCAGCTGAGCTTTCAGCTGCTCCGTCAACTCCTGCTGCTTTGCCTCGGCCAGGCGCTCCTCTGTGCGTATAGCCTGCAGAATGCTCTCCAGTTGTTCAACCAAACTGAACGCCCGTGCGGCACCCTCTTTTGCATACCAACGCTGAGACACAGACAATCCATGAAACAGACCCTGCATTTCCAAGTAACCGTGTCTGCCCCCGTGACGCAAAGGGTGCCAGCAGCAATTCCGCTGCTGACTCTCCCTGTGCTATCCACCAACATGCATCCCACTTCTGAAAAGCAGGCAGCAGAGAAGAAGAATAATAAGGCTCACTCTTTGTTTATCTTCAGGCCGCCGCTCGTAGACCATGCACTGCTTCAGCTGCCGCTCAACCTCAGCTTTCGTCACATGACGGTTCCTGGAGACAAAACGCACTACTTTCTGCGGACCCTCAAATATTGCAGCAGCAGCACCAACACCACCACGGCGAGAGCTAGCGAACGCAGCATGGAGGGAGGGAGAGAAGAAGACGTACGCTCTCTGAAACTCCGGGATGTTCTTGAGCTTTCCGACGGTTTTGCCATGGAAAAACTGAATCAAAAACCAAAGCGCCTCGCGCTTTCGATCGCCCCCCAGCTGGCACCTGGAGGTCAGGCCATGCTGCATGTATGCGTGGTACTATACTCTACACGTATGTGCGAAGAAGTGCAAGCCGCCGTAGCACAGAAGGTGTCAACTCCCGCACGCTCCAAAGCTGTGAACCTCCTGCCACCGGAGCATTACAGTGCAGCTGCACAGTGGAGGCCCTTTTACTCACCTTGAGTAGATTAATGCTGTCTTCATCTGACCACTTGCGACGCGCATGCGTTGGAAGGGCATCGAGTCGGGAGAAGGGGTTGCCTCCTTGAAGTCAGCACGCAAAAAACAAAGGCACCGTCCGTTCTTCAAAGCTCCCCAATCCCGTGCAATCGTGTGCCTCTGGCATGAATTGTGAGCCTTGATGAGAGGTGCCTTGAGGCTACAATGTATGCCTCCTCCTGACTCCGCTACCCCTATGCTGCTGCCACACGGACTGCCCAAGCGCCCTTTTGAAGATGCACACGCATGGGTAGGCACGCCCTAGCAGAGCGGATGCTCCTCACCCCAATCGTCGCCGATACAGCCATAGGCAGAACACCAATTGCGGTCCTTCAACGTTGGAATGGGTAGGAGCGGTAGCGAAACTGAGAGGTACAACACGCAAGCGGAGACGCGGGCAGATACTTGCTGCATTTCCCCCGCCGCTGAAAGAGAGGCTCTACGCACGCAATCAACGCCATTTTCTGAACGGGAAGCAAGGGTACTCAGTAGGCAGCCGTGCAAAGCGCTCTTAGAGGCTGCATAAGATGCAAGCGCAGTAGACACCCTGTCTTCCGGCCTGCTTACGGTCTGACTCATTCGCCTTCGGCTCCCCGTCGAACGTGAAGCTCCACTGTAGGAAGGACTCAAATTTCATAGCGGGCGTAACAAGGAGTTTTTCTTTGGCCTCCTCGTCTTCTTCCAGCCAGTCTCTGTCATCTTCCCCCTCTACTTCCTCCTCCTCCTCCTCCTCCTTAGCGTCCTCGAGATCATCCGCGTCGAAACATTCGAACCATTCATCGTCGCTGTCTCGTTCATAATCGATGCAACTCTCCTCTGCCCACTGCTCGCACGAACTTGCTGTCTGCTCAGCGCAAAAGCACACGCCAGATAAATATATATATTCATATATATACACATTTATACGTATAGCCAGCCTTTCTTGCACACGCGCCCTGTTGAACACTTCACGACGCAGCACGCAACAACAGCGACATCGGAACAGGGCGATTCCTTGAAAACCTTGCGGCAAAGGAAAAATCGCTTCGCTACACACGCCAGCACCCCTTGTCACAGAGACAGAAGCACGTCCGACCCCTGCCCCCCTTTTCTTCTTTGCGTCATTAGAAGGGGAAGAGCTCAGATGTCTCTACAAGTGCCTCTCTGAATCCTCGTCTGTGGCGCTTCCTGCCGTTTATGGCAGTAATGCACACTGCGCAGCTTTCAGCCTCCGCCACCTGTGAAGTTGATCTCTCGAAATTAGACTCAGGCTAGGCAGTCGAAGCACCTTGCCAGAGCACGCGCACATGCAGACGCGACAGCAGCCGTCCTCTGCTCTCGCTCTTCCGTGGCATCTGCCGAGCAGTCAAGGGACGGCCTACCTTTGCCTGTTTCGCCATCAAAAGCCTCCGCACAGGCCTCTTCCACTCATCAAGGGCAATCCATGTCGGTCGAAGAAATGGCGCGTCAGGCAAAGACTCCGCGCAGTAATCCGTCAGCGTGAGGCCTCTCCTCACGTCTGCTGCCGTCTGTCTGTACCCCCCACCGCTGCCGCTGCTGCTGCTGCTGCCGTCTGCTTCAGTGGACAGCCCCGCAGAGCCGCTAGAGGTCTGTTGCAGAGAAATTTTATGCACGAAACGGCGATGCTCCGCTGAGGGCATAGAAATACAACGACGCACCCAGCGCGCGCAGAGACTCGACAAAACCGTTCACCGGAAAAGCCAGCCGAGAAAGACACGTCTCCTCTCGCCACCTTTTCCCTTTTCGTTTCTCCCCTTCCCCGAGATGGCAACAGGCAGGACGAGACACGAGCAAACAGTGAAGATTGGGCTGGGAAGGCAGGAAGGGACGCACCGCAAAAGGAGAGAAACTCGCGAAGACGTTCACGCGCAGGCATCGCATGCTTATGCAAAAACTGCCGCAGCAGACAGGAGGGCTCACCCTCCTGCTCTAGCGACGCTGTACCTGCAGAGGCATTACCGCAAGCAGCTCCCTTCGCCCTTGGCCACAGAACGAAGCGGGAGGATCCGCGGAAACAGCCGCCAGATCTACGAAAACATGCGTGAAAAGAAGGCGCGTGCGGTCCTTTCGCTGACTGTATGTCACACACAGACAAACTGCAAATAGGTTCTCTACCTCCACTCCCCACCAACGCGAAAAAATTTACCCTCTGGCAGCTGCGGAAGATCGCTTGCGTTCACGTGGCGGTGCCGCTGCATTGCGCCTGCGGGGTCGCACCCACACACACACATACACACTTCTTTGGCAGCTTTTTGTTGGCAAGTTTCTGCAATGATGCCTTCAAGGCACTCCAACGCATGCGCGAGGAAATCGCGCATGGAAGGCTCCGTTTTACACGGCTCGACGTCGTGACACAGGGGCCTCCTCTCTGCGTTTCGTCCACGGCAGCAGGCGAGGCAGTGCATTCTTGTGGAGCTAGAAGGGGAAGGGGGAGAGAACTTTGGGATACTTACATCTAGCCAGGCCCTCAACAGCTGCAATAAATCCATCGCGTTCGTCACTGCTGGCTCGCCAGGAGGCAGCCTCCGATTCGGCCGCTTTACGCAGCGCCGCCTTCTCTCGCATTGCCGCTTGCTCCTGCTCGTCAAGCACGACAACAACTGCTGCCCCTCCTTCCCCGTTTATCCCCGCCTGCCCACGCGCGGCAAGCGAGCAGCCTCGCTTGTTCTTATCGCCAGCCTGAACTTCCACCCCAGCAGCGAGTCTCTGAAGGCTCCCCGCGAGCGACGGCGCAGGACGCCGAAGCCACGAAGCCATCAAGCTCTGCTGCCTGTTGACGCTGGGGTCTGCTTTCTTCTCTTTTTGCTTTTCTGCTTGCTGTTGCAGCTTTTGCTGAGCAACACACGAAGTGCGCACGGAGGATCTGCACGCCTGCTCCGAGGGGCCCTTACTCGCGGCAGCAGCAGGGCGTCATCATCCCTCCGCAAGGCACCAAAAATACGCTCACAGCCGAGAGCCGCGCCTAGGCGTGAGCTCGCCTTCTCCCGCTCACACTCCCCCCCGCGCTGCCAGGAGGGAGGCTCCTCCCAAAGCATTCAAGCTCTAGAAGCCTTACCAACCGCTGCTCCTCCTTTTCCTTCTCCTTCTCGAGTCGCTCGCGTTCCCGCTTCTCGCGCTCAGCCTCCTTCAGCCTCTTCTGCTCCTCCCTCTGCTCCTCTCGCTGCCTCCTGCCACGCTCCCTCTCCTGTCTGGCATACTCGATTTGCCGTCGCTTGTGCTCCTGCTGCTGCTTCCTCTCCGCCGCAGCGGCCTCCCTCTCCAGCTGCTGCTGCACGCGCTCTCTGGCTGCCGCAAGCTCGGTTTCGACGCCTCCGCACAGCGCGTCTCTGAGTTTCTCAAAAGCTCGCAACCGACGATTCAAGTTCTGAAGACCACACACACACCCCACAGGAGTCTGGAAGGAGACTTTGAGGCCGGTCGAGAGCAATGGCGGGGGCAGCCTTCTCGCGAGCGACGAGCGCAACATGCAGACAGCGCTTCCCAGGAGACTGCCTTGTGAGGAATCAACTCCAGGCGGATGCACGGCGGCAGCAGGGAGGCCTCTAGCGAAAGGAGGCCGTCGGCGCTCAGACACACCTGTCTGCCCTCTCTCTCCTTACGGGCTGCCTCTTTGAAGGCTGCAGGCAGTCCGTCCAAAACCACGCACTCCCAAACCCAAAATTTGTGAGGCGCTGTATCCTCCAGAGGCCCCTGCGGGGGCCCCCGGGAGGCCCCTTGGGGAGCGCCTTCGGCGTTCAGGGGGCGCACCAGCCCGAAGCTGAGGGCAAAGAAACCACGCCGCATATGCAGACCCCAACATACCCTTCCCAGATCAACACGCGAGTCGAAGCGCTGCTCTCGCGGGTACTTGGAGGCCGTTATCGACGGCTTCCCCGCGACTAGGAGGTCGCTTTCTTCAACCGCATCCCTGCGGTGGCGCGCAGCTTCTCATCTCGCTGCCGTCCGTACCGTCGGCGGTTCAACAGGATGGGCAATTCAACTTTGAGGCTCTGAGGATCCACATTGAACACGGGAGCATCTTCATTCGGCCCAGGGTCTGCAAGGGCTTTGGTAGCGGCCTCTGCAAGGGCAGATAGGGGGAGGGGAGAACCCTCGCACAGTATCCGTAAGAGCCGCTGCAGAGACAGCACGAGTCCGCTTCCTGACCATCCATCCATGACACACACACGCACACATACACATATATATATACACACACACACAAAGGCGCTGTGGAATGTTTGAAGGGGCCTTGAGAACTCGTGCAGAGAGGAGGGAGCGAAGCAGGAAGCAAGGAAGCAAGCCGCGCTATGCTGTAGAGACACGCCGAGGCACGGCCATTTAGGATGGGCTTAGAAGTCTTCCTTTCATGCAAGCTACAGACAGCAGCGGGGGTCGGTAGAAATCGTGCAGAGGCGAACCTGGGGGCTGTTCTTCTTCCCCTTCCTTTTCTTCCTCCCCTTCGGGGAATCCGATCTCCCTTTTTATCTTTAAATACGCTTCACGATGAGAGAGTAGGCCGGTATCCTGCATCACCACACAGTTCAAGAATTTCGACTTGGTAACCATGCGCACGAGCCACTCGTCATAGGCGTTGAAGAGGCTTCCATGTGCTAGTGAGAGGTGCTACTCGGAGAAATCTCAGTTCTTGCAGGGCAAGATGCAGACAGTTGGCACCTGGAGGAATGCCTGAGCAAAAGATGTCTGCAGCAGCAGCGTCAACAAGCAGGAAGCGAGAGCTGTCAGCCCTTCTTCTTACAGGAAGTCCTTTATCGAGTATTTCTGTGATGCTTTCGTCGACTTTTTGGAGCTCCTCTCGATACCTTGCTGGCACAGGGGGCGGTGTTGAAGCAGCCGCTGCCGCCGCTTCTGCTGCTGTTGCCCGTTTGCTTCTGAAGGATGCTGCTCTGCGGGGGCGGGCTGAAAGGCGCTTTTCTCCCTCGCCTGGGGTGGAAGAACTCTCTGCCCCCTCGCCATCTTGCGACATCAGAGAGACTACGGAAGAGGTGGAGGCCCTTGGTCTGCGTTCTTCATGCGCGCTCCTTTCTTCTTGTGGCGCTCCTTGGGCTTCTTTCTCTGGGGTGGAGGTACTGTCTGCTCCCGCGAAGAAGGGTGCTCCCCCGAAAGACACCGCCCCTTCTACGGTCGCCATGTTTGCCAAAGCCCCATTGTTTTCACACGGAGTGAGCCCGTCGTGCTCCATGTCGTGGGCCTGTAGCTTCGCATGTGCAGGCGGCTGGTGAGGGGCATCCTCGGGGGTGGCGGGAGTCGCCCTCATGGCTGTTGTTGACAGCGAGGGGAACGGTGAACAGGGGGCTGTATATGAAATGCTGAACTACTGCGGTGCCCACACAGCTCAGAAGGGGCGAGTTCAAGGCATCGACAGGAAGAAAGAGAAACGGTCGGGACGGGCTGGAGAGCGCTCAACAAAAAGGGACGACACCGAAGGCACAGGGCGCTCAGGGAACCGGGACGGTGCTTTGACTATAGAAGGCCCACAGGGATAACGCGGAGGCTTGGACGACGGTATTAAACAAAAAAGAACGTGTGCGATCCTCAGGTCGGGGTGTTTATGGGGCTCTTCTGTACCAAAGTACGACCCCCCACCACCACCATAACCACCGCGTATGCTCTCACCCCACTTTGCATAGCAAAGCCCCTAATGGTAAGGCAATTTCCTGGATGCCTCGTTTTGCTCTGCCAAACAGAATTTGCTGTGCTTCAGCTCAAGGGTTGCTGAGAAACTGCCGGTGGCAGCGCCCACCATGGTCGTATCCAAGACAGGCGCGCCACCTGGGAAAAGCATACAAAATAAAAATAGAAGGCGGAATTAAGCTTCTAAACAGTTATCATACGATTGAATTGCATCTGCGTACTATTTCGACAGGGAAGTTGAAAGGAGTCCCCACGTATCCCACCACACGCAATGCCATGACAGGCAGGAACTACATTGCCCTACGCGGGAAAACAGAGTTTTCGCGTCCATCTCCCTCTTTGTGTGAAGAAGGCATTGATTGGAAAGCTTTTGTTTCTGCGGCGAAAACGCGGTTTCCGCAGTTGGACGCCTGCACTGACTACTGCCGCGACACGGGTTGAGATGTTTTGACAGATTGGCTACGCGGAATGAAATGCTCAGCCTTCTAGATATTGCTTTGACTGACTGTTCAGTGCAAATGCAAGAGCGTCAAGCCATTAGGTGTGTTACGCCAAATCCGCCGGTGATCCCCCCAGGTCGTGTGCTCTATGTTCTCGAGCCGAGTACTAATGAAGATAGATACGCCGAGGCAAACAACTAAGCGCCCATTAGAATAGGGCAAGCAGCCGCAGAGAATTCTGCTGCCATTGATAGCTTTGAGATGTGTACATCTGTAAGCTGGCCTAATCACACGTATTTTCGTCGTTTGCGTAAATTCCAAAAAGTTTATATTTGGGTTTCTCCTGGCCGTGACTGCGGGCTTCAAATCAGATGCCCCTACAGGTGCTTAAATGTTATGATAGTTACTCTGAATAATCCATATGGACGTAACCTGTACATACAAGAAAATTCGCTCTCCTCGCTAAAATATAAACTGCGCTTGACGAACTCGGATGTACGAAGGAATGAATTTTTGAGTGAAAGAGTTAAACGGGTTTTAAAGACCGAAATGTTTGCAGCATGCATTGCTTTGCAGGCTGGCCTACTAGAGCTGATGGAAGAAAACCCTAAGCCCCGCAAGTATTGGCGAGTTCTCCCTCAAACAATTAAAAAGACAATGTTGGCATTCGTGTACGCGCGAGCTGTAGCTCCAGCTCTTCCTTCTCGATGTCTTCGGAAGGAAATGTCTGAAAAGGAGAGCAAAAGGACTGAGAAGCGTTTCGACATTGTGTGCCTGATTAGTTGCTGCTGCGGCTAACACACTTACATATACGTCAAGAAAACGGGGAACCAGGATGCCTGCAATCTTTCGCATAAACGATTGTACTGACTTACAGGCCGGACAAGTGTGTTTGCAACAGCGAAAAGAACAAAGCCAACAACAGAAATCCAAAGAATCATCTCAAATCCAAATCTGCGCATTAGAAACCACAGGGGAAATGGTAGAATGAGCTATTGTGCCAAGTGTTTCCGCAGTTCCCTCCTGAAATAGTGCTATCAACTCTTAAAGGGCATACCGCAGCGCAAGTTCTTTGCCTCCAGCTGGGTGGCACCAGTCAATGAAATCCATCACCACACCAGAGACAAGTGGGGCACTAAACCAGCCGAACATGTTGTACCTGTAACAAAAACGCAGAAAAATGAACACTGTGTCTGCGATACGTTCTGCAAGCAGTACAAGTAGAGCTGTCAAAGCATAGTCGGAACTGCACTACTTATCCTAGGAGGGATACGCAAAAACAGTGTGCCGTAGTGGCGCATGATATCTATCGAAAATGATGGCAGAAAGATGCGCTTACGCGAATTGGCTAAGGGCAGAAGAAATGCTACGCTGGTGGAGCGGAACGCTGGCGAGTTGAATGCCCACAGCAACGGGAACCAAAGCAGCTCCGAAAAACAGACAGCCCCAAAGAAGAAGAGCGAAGAGGATAAAAGATTCCACATAGATGCAAGTCACTGCCAATGATGCTCCGATACCTACAACAAAAACGAGAGCAAACTCATCAGAGCAATCCATGGCCGCGATTGTGCAGCAGCGCCTACTTCCGTTGGCTATTTACCCACTTGGCAGAGTATGTGTGCATGCCATTATAAGACATGATCTCAGTAATGCGGAAAATACCAATCTGATCAACTGACCCGCAAAAAGGGTTGTGACTCTAACTGCCACTCGCTGCTGCCCGCCACCTCGGTATCCTCCGCAGAGATCGCAGACGTATCCACCAAACCAGACTCTGAAAGCGACGCCAAAACGTATGACAACCAATAGCATCATGAAGACATGCAAGGTGCTTCAAATCTGTAAACCTCTAAAATTGTCTTTAAGAAAGGCAACGTATTGTAGTGCAGTAGCAAATGGCCACTGAGCAGAACAAGCCCGTATATGACCTACCCAGATGTCGGGGCGGTTAGGAAGCAGAATGTGCTTAAAGCAACCACTGAGAGCTTTTGAAAGTGAAGCACTGAAACCAGGAACTCTGTAACCCAGAACTGAATGCCTGAAAAAACGCGGAAGAGAACCCTTCCCGTAAAGCTTTTTGATCCACAACTTGGTATTCACGCAGTTTCATTTTCTGGTTTGTACTGGGAATTTCGTGGTTGTCCAAGGAACAATCTCTCGAAAGTTCCAATGTGTGTGACCCACCAGTTACTACGAAGTAAAGCGCACTCATTCCCATGGTAACCACCAAGTAGAGAGGATTTTTGAGCAGAGACTTGACCTCAGTCCAGGCAGTAGAGAAGTTGTGCATGCAGGACTGGCCAGATGAATCAGTCTCGCCAATCGTACTCAAACCGGTCCTGATGACAGAAACGTGCAGCTGTGTGGCATACAAACGTGGCGTGTTCTTCGTAACTGAAAAACATCTTTAGATGCTTTGGCAGGACAGATTGATGTCATTCTTCTAGCGTTCTCAAAAGCTGGTGCACTTCTGTGCAAGTACGTCAGGCGTTGGTCATGTGCTTGCCTAATTAGTAGGAGCGTTAACGTTTGGTGCATGAAACCAATAAGAAACTGGAACTAACATATGGATCCCCACCTCTGTCTTTCTGGACGAGTTTGGCTTCTATCAGGAAGATTCACGAGGCTTGCAGGCAAGGCAGCAAGAAGCAGAACAACCGGAATAAGAGCCACGGACTGCAAAGCACAAAGTAAAAGCCTCAACACAAGAACGCCTTGAAATCTAGGTCATGTATCCGATCAGACAATGTCGAATTTCTTGTGGGCATCTTTTTCATTATGTTTTTGTCTTCAACGGGAGAAGCCTTACTTGAACGAAGAAAGGAGTTCGCCATCCACTTTCGCCGCTGGGTACAGTGAAACGCGAAACAACACCGCCAATGAAATAACCGCTGACAGTTCCTGATAAGTAGTCACAGAGGGTGTAAGAAGAGAGGTATACGCAAAATATTCGAGAAATACACCTCGGAAGCGACACTCAATTACGAATTGTTATGGTTCGCTAAGTCCCGGTGAACGCGCTGGTGTATGCTTATCATTATCTTTATGGCCCAGGTTGAAACGGCTGAGCAAGAGCAGGTGCACCATTCCAAAACAAATGCACAGTTGCTTCAGAAAAAAGAGGTCTTGTGCAGAAGTGGTGCTTATGCGGTTTACCTCCGATGCCTGCCAATTGGGTGTAAGACATCCACCGAGTCACTTGACCCTCGGGTGCGTAGTCGTCAACCCAAACGGGTAAATAAACCACAGGCACTGCCTGTGCAATATAAACAGCGAATAAATCATTATTATACATTTCGTGAGATCCTGGTCTATATTGATGCAAAGCCACTTCAGCACTGTGCAAGGGAGACGCTGCGATGCTTGAACGCGCGAGGTTACCTGACACAAGCCCGTGATGAACCGCGTGAAGTACATGAGCAGAAGGCTGTTCGAACTAGAAAAGAAAAATAGGGAAGACGAAAGGCAAAGCAAGCTTCCCACTAGAAGCCATTTGGCTCCATAGCTTTGCAGAGCAATGCCTGAGCACGCACATACACAAGCCCACAGCAAGCCAGTGATAGGTCTTGTGAAGTAGATGGGAAGCAGGCTGTTTGACCTGCAGAAGTAGTAGAATACAACTGAAGTCCATATGTGCACATTCACATATGTATTCACAGTGGTCCGATCGAACAACACTGAGCAAGAGCAAGATGCATATCTGCACACGCACATGCTTTTTGGATGTCACTCATGTACGATGGCAGTACGGAGCAGGGCAATGTAGAGTGTAGAGCGCATCAAACTAGGCTTGTTCACCTGCAAAGAGACTGCCGATGATAAGCCCGAAGTAGACGAGAGATCCGAAGAGGCTTTGTTCCACGAATTTTATCTGGTTGTTGAAGTTCTTTTGTATTTCGCTGAGGATTGCGGGGATCACGCCGTGGTCAAAGTTGCACAGAAAGGAGACCAGTATAACGGAAACTAAAACCATCTTTAGAGTGGCCTTTCTTCTGTTTCTTCTGTACACCGCAGCAGACGGTACGTCTGGTTCTCCCCCAAATGCAACAGACGCCCCGCTAGATTGGGGGCCTGACATGTGAACACTGGAAGAGGCGTAGTGTGCTGAAGCACCCTCCATTCGGTCATATCCACGAGTTCCCATGTCGGTAGCTGCAGCAAAAAATAAAAGCCGACGGTCAGGCTATCATTAGCAACCGCGACACGTACAATTTGGAGCCCGCCTGGTGTCTTTGTGAGCCGCCACTAGAGAGTCAGAACCTGAATCCCTCAAGGCGGAGCAGTCAATAAAAGGACAGCCTACCCGTTTGTTGAGGGATCCTTTGGTAGCCAGAGCCCAAATGGCCAACCCTGATGGGTCTCTGCGCATTGGCATAGGGCTGCTGCTGCTGCTGCTGCAGCAGCAGTTGCTGCTGGAGAGCAGCCTGAGTGTTCGGCAGCTGCGTCATTTCCCCAGTCATCCGTGGTACCACAGCCAAACCTCAAAGGCCCCTGTGTGCTATGGTTGCAATGCACTGCTTCCGAATCCCCAGAATGTCATGGAGTTTTCCACGCGGAAACGGCCGCTCAATTGGTCACAGAGCTCTGCTGCTGTGGAGCTGCTGGTCGCAGCTGCAGCGGAGGGCAAACCTCGAAAATCGTGAGTCTTACCAGGCCAAAAAGGTCTATCAGCGCTTTCACCAAGGAGGAGCCCTTTAGGCTCACTGTGAAAAGCTCGCACAGACCGCTGCCGACGCCCGCACAGGCGAGACTGAGGCGGATGGCGGACCGTCTCTGCCGTGGCGTCTTCCACTTAGCTGCGAATCGGCTGCTGGTGTATCTTGTGAGGCACAGGTAGAAGTTGGGGCGCTTCCCCTCTCTTGCAGCTGCAGCCGAAGCTGCCACCGCGACCCCCTTCAGGTGATATGGCTAAGAAGATCCTGGAGAACGGTAGACTCCACTGCAAGTGTCTATTAGCTGCCTTGGCCTAGTAGAAGGAAATAAAGGGTGTAAATCCCTTTCTACGCTTTGTACGGGGCGGCGAACATACGAAATGAGTGGTGGCGTTGGTCAGTGAGCTGCTGCTGCAGCACATGAGCTGCTGCAGCATATGAGCTGCAGCAGCAGCAAACCGATGCCAAAGCCGTAGACCAAAGGGGAAGCAGTCAAGCCTTTGAAATTTCAAGCAGAAGGCATCAAAACGGGGCAAAGCAGAAAGGGGCATACGGAAGAGGCCTGAAGCCCCCTCGGCGGTCGGCTGCAGCGCCGCTCTACGTAACAGTGAGAGGGCCGGCCCAGTTCGGCACACCTGCAGAGCTCATGCTCCCTCACAAAGTTCTGACTAAAGTCTGCTGCTTCTTTTCAACGGCCATAATAGCCTCTGTACGGAGTATTGCGTTGTTCGGATACGCAGGACACCTACGCCAACAAGGTGCAACGGCTTGCAATGCGACCGCGACCTGCCCGTAATCCTAGGGCAGCCGACCCCTGCTTGCAGACAGACATACAGCTAAATACACTAAACAAATTGCTTGCTTGTGATGGCTGTGCGGAAGCCACCAACTGAATTACTACTGGGCAACAGAACGATCCATAGTCTGCCTCAAAAGCGCGATCCCCCTCGAGCCGGCCGCCGCCTGTGCGGGAACTGTGTCTCCCCCTACACATTGTGCACCGAGCGAGCGAATCGCCGTAAAGTACCTGCACTTCGTGTACAAAAAGGTCGTGAAACGAGCCTGGCGGCAAAGTGCCTCGCTACCATTGCAAAAAATGCTCAGTCCAACACTTACGTTGCAGTTTCCAACGTAAATCATCGAGCCACCACAATACGACACAAAAGGTGGAAATCCTAGAAGCTATCTAAGCTAAAGGTTTTTTCACTCTTCGAAAACGACTGCACCACAGTATTGCCGCAAGATCACAGGTTTCTAGACTAAAGGGCTATCCTGCCCTCTTAACGACCAATGCTTTAAAACTTGAAGATACATTACCATTCCCTTGCAGAATAGCTTTACCTAGCTGCACCAGAAGACTCTATCGAGCACCTGTGTATGCGAAATCAGATTTACCTCACTCGCCTGTTCCTTAGCTCCATATAGCGTTGGCCTCGATATGCCATGCGACAGATTCAACACCTGAGCTACATGCACATCGCCAATTTTGCCTCAACATGAACCTACTTCATCAGTGCCACCGACGTACAAGTGGTTTTTCACGCAGCGTATTTCGTCTTGTAGCGAGGCAAATAGTAACTAAGGTAGCTTGTGCTTTTTTGATCTACGATGGCTAGGTGTGTGGCGTGAGTGTTCAGTAAGTAGATACTTGGCGGAGCATGCTTAGCTATCTCCTATGACGTATATGCTTTCTGTGGTTCCAACAAAAAAACTCATGCGCGTATACGTGTGAAAATTCTCTGATAGTACACCTACCTGCACTTTTTGCAGTGTCCCTGCTAGCGCAGGCCTGGTGAGCTTGGGGCAGATGAAGACGACGTGATCATTTTTTCAAATAATGATTAACACCACCATCATGTAATAATGTGGTTAATTACTCTATTGCGGGGATCCATACCTAAGCCAGTGAAACTTGTTAACCTATCTTTCGCAAAGGCATGCCCTCAAATACTGTATTGGCCGTGAAGCGGTGCACATCACTCGCTAACCAGTCGCCCAAAGGGCTTCCGCATAGACTAGTCGCTTTTCCATTACCGGTAGAAGCAAGCCCAGAGAGCCGAGGGATGAAGTATCATTTTCGCCTAAAAAGGATAACAGAAAAATGTTCCCTCATTTATGTATAAAGAATTCATTACAACGGAACACTACGAATTCTCACCAAGTAGTGGAGCTCCCTGTCCCAACACGCCGTAAAAACCCTCAAATATATCCAGCTTCAGTAGACGCTTATTTGCGGTGAACTATTCACTACGATTGTGGCTTTAAGTGCGGTCTCTTCAATAAGACATGCGTCAGCTTCCCTTTGCGTTATTTGACAACTGCAGAAGAGCAAACCGGCCTGCTTTGAGGATGGTAGGCTGCATCATCATGAAAGATTGTAGGACTTTAAGAGGCTGATATAACAAACAGAACTTCAGATCATGCTTTGTTTAGTCTAGGTTGGGGATCTAACTATTGGAATGTTGGTTGTATTGTACTAGCATTATAATTGTGCCTCCAGCTGCTGGCTTCGCCATTGAAGGCGCGGATCAAGCACACATAGAGGATCAAGTCTCTTGCACATCCATGGTATATCGGGATCCTCAATTTGTTAACGCTAGTGCAAATGCATGGCAGTTTATATTGCAAACTTCACAGGCATTGCATGACCTAGCTGCTGATGGGGAAAGATGCTATTTCAAAGTGTTATGATTGCTTTTAATGTCACCATAGCTAAGCTAGCAAGGAAAATGATATAGGATTCTGGCGGGGCTCGAGAGTAAGCAGATAACAAAGTTATTTATTAGCTAGCTGCTTACTCGTGAAATGGCACTGATGCCAGCTGGGTCAGTGTGGAGGCTATCACCCCGGAACCCCAACTTGGCTTCCGCTCAGCAGAACATGCAGATATGTCCTCGATGGTACTGGTGCTACTTCCAGTTGGTTGTTTGCTTGAAGTGCTGAATCGTTTGGTAGTAGCGAAACTCTCGATACCGGTGATGGGGCCTGACTTCAAGGAGTACAGCATCCTACTTTTACCCAGCCAGTCTACACAGTGGCCCTCTACACTACACCAGGTATGTCTAAGAATCTGCTTAAAGGTGGACTATTTTGTCTGGCTCTTTGAATACTGTATGTATTGTAGAAAATGGTTGGCTTGATTTAATGACCTTCCATGCTGGGTGCCTGTGCACTGGAAGTTGAGTGCGAGTAGTGGAGAATGAAGTTCGGGATTAGAGGGTTAAGCTACGCGAACCCCATCTGCTCCTCTATCTCCATGCTGGAATCGTGAGAAGCGGGGCAAGAGGAAGGAAGGAGTTCTTCTAGGAAGCGCTTAATAAGTTTCTATTAAGTTCGCACAGATATTGGCATTAGCATCCCACGGATACCTCAGATGGAACGTTATGTCGGGTCTTCGGTAGTAGACATTTGAGAGCAAACCCTAGGCAAGCTAAAGAAAAGTAGCGAGCTTTTCAGAAAAGCCTCTCCACCCCCGCAAGCGCCCCTTAGAGGTTCGACATTGGGGGAGCGAGGCAGCAAGGATGCGCGAGTTGTTGCACCCTTCAAACACTCAGATCATTAACAGCTAACTGCACGAAGCGTCTAGTGCACACGCACACAACATTGAGTCCTGCCATATCGAGCCTATAGTACTCCAAAATAAAGACGATATATCAAACCGTCAAACAAAATAGAAAATGCTCTTCTTCTTCTTAACTAAAGATAAGCTACTTCAGAAGATGATTTTGACTCGTGGCTAATGCTCCTAAAATCTGCCTTCGTTTTCGAACCACATAGCCTCGCGTTATGTAGCTGGACTTCATAATCAACACCATGCAGGTCAGCGAAAAAGCACCTGATCTTTCACCTTTCCTAAGGCAGGCAGATGCGCGAAAACAATGCAAGCAAATGTGTGTGTCAACCGCTAAAGTGAAATCAACAAGCAGAAAGGCATACAATAGCCAACATCAAACGAGGGGCACACAGTACAACAGCAGAAGAGTGTTGGCTTGCAGGGATCGGAGCGTTGAAATATCCGAGCACCCTGCTATGAGAACATGAAGACAATAAAATATGTGAAGGAGAACCCACAATGTTGTTTATGTGTTTGGCATTCTGAATTTTGGCAAATGTAGGTGACGCATGGGTGTCAAAACCATGAGACTCAAGCAACGTTGAGAAAACCGTAATTGGTCGCCGGCAAGAGCGGTCACGCTATGGAGAAGTGAAGCACTGAAGCACCACGAGAGGGCGTTGGTGGCAATGCTGGTGATACCTTCAAAATACTACTTTGTCAAGTCGTAGTGCACGAGGCGCCTCAGACGGAGAGCGACTCAAATACTGTATGCTGTCCAAGCTCTGAAAACTTCAACCAAGCTTCATTAAAAGTCGACGGTCGGTCTGAGCAGTCAATTGAGGCTCGTATAAGCAGTCCCCGGGATTTTCCGCGTCCTTACTTAGGAATCAGGGCTCTTTTTCACGCTGGATACTGCTACTCGGTTTCGGTGAAACGATGGAAAAAAAACATTAGGTTGGTGCTCTGAAGAGCTCGTATTTTGTTGAGAGCGACTTGCACCCATCGCTACATCACGTTCATCGGTTGTTAGGAAGGAGTTTCGCGTATACTCGGGCAGTCCAAGTACCGAAGGAGTTGTAGGCAGCCGGTAAGCATGCGTTTGGCGGCATCAGCTTCCGATCGGAGTCATAGGCTGCTCTTTCTTGAATGGATTCTGCTAATGGATAAGAGTCCCGATCAAACCCATTTATGGATTCTCGGAAGTAAATGTACACTCATGGAGCTTCGCAACGTTCTTGTGGGTGCGCAAAGGTAAAGGTCACTCCGCGACGTTCAATTTTGCCCCAGCTGGCTCAATCCCTGCAGCGAAATCACTGAATTACACTAAAAATTGTTCTCGGAAGCCACGAACACCTGCGTGCCTTTCCTTGCCACTGCTTTATCCGTAATAGCTGAAAGGCATGTTGGGTGTGCTGTAGGCACTACTGAAAGTCTGTTGAAGACAGGCGTTTTCCATGTCGACAACCATCCACCCATCCTTCATAGACTCATGGGAACTTTGATTAAATTTTCATTTCACGTCAGCTGGGTCACTTACAACTCCGACAAGTATACAGGTGTATTCAAGCGTATGAATGCAAGTATGGAACGTTATCTTGTACCTGTTATCAAGGTGAAGGGGGACTTGTCAGAAAGCGCCTGTAAAGTATAATGTTTAGCACACTGGCGCCCCGTGCAATCTGTCAAGTACCTCTCCAAGATGAGGCAACATGAACGACTTTATCCTAGCAACCTTGTTCAGGAGCTGAAGTTGAAGCACATATGCCATCTTCCGTCGTTTGTCGGGACCAAAAATAGGTTGGGGTTGTGCCCGAAAGTGCTGGTCGGGTTCTGCACCTTGCATTTTCCAGCCAACTTATCCGCCTACCACTCAATCTTCTTTGTGTTATGAGATCTTCTGATATATATAAAAGCAGCTTGCAGCTGATCTGTAGATCAGCTGAGTACGGTGCGCCAGTAGACCAGCAGGTGGCCAGCCTGCTTGCGGGTCGTCATTATTTAGTACATGCGCGAGCACCTTACTATGTGCCCCTTCCTGCTGTTGCTTGGCTTAAATCTCGCTCGAATTTCCTGATACAAAGCCAGAAACAGAGCCGCTAAGAAGGTATGCATGCTCAGAACCGTCTTCCCTTGCAGCGTTACTGAGCTGCCCGCGTGAAGCTATGCCTCACTTGTTTGAGGATCGGAATATCCACCGCTCAGAACAGATTAAATGATCGTTGTTGAGGAGCTAACAAGCTTCCTATGCTTAGCGCTCCCTGGCGCAATTACCCACATAGCACGCAGCTGTAGCTGCAAGCGCATCCCATGAGGTTACTCATGGCTTACCTAGGACTACGTTATGGTGCACGGGACCGATCAGCATAACAGACTATGCTGATAAGACCGGATTCTGATGATTTCCAATAGCATTAACCTTCCGTACTTTTGCCAATTCTTGCGTTCCGCCGCCTTTCAGCTAACCTGAGTATCGGGGACTGTGCGGGCGAGTGAAGAGAACAGGCATATTGCATTTGTGCGCCGTCTCCTCGCATACCAGATACATCCACCTCACATCCAGTGTCAAGCGCTAGCGATTCTCGACCATTAACGTAAGCTTGTTACAGCGCGCAATTGACCCGTTGTACACCACGACTGCGGCTCTTTCTCTCAAGCCCCCTTCACCGCACCGCAGCTTGCTTGATGTCTCTTTTTGTTTTCTCGATGTGCCTCCTGTGCTCGCCAAGCAGCCAATAATACTGCTGGTCCAGTACCGGTGTTCAAGTTCTTTGGCCTTTTGTACGCTCTTGCAATTTGGGGTTATGTGGCCTGATTTTTCATAATAGAAGCAGGGGATGTGTTGGAGGCCTGTCTGGAGTTGATTTTCAGCAAGAGGGGTTCGCTCTGACTTTCGTTTCTCGTTCTCCCTAGACGTCACGCTAGGGCCCGCTGACACAACCCCAACATCCTTAGTTTCTAAATCATGATTCGACTCTTTGCTTTTGGCCAGAGTGACGAATGTTATGCTTGTTTGTTCCTAAAATAAGAGGGCACCCTCTGTGGGAGCGTGATCGGTCGGTTTCAAGGGCTGAGTCGCCGCTCACCCCGGGGCCATCAGATATGACTCTTTAGAAAGACCTAAGCTGAGCCACTGATAAAGCAGCTGTTCGCCTACGTTGTGGCTCTTGCAGACAAAATTTTCATATTTTATGGCATACAGATCTGTTGATTGATTTCACTGCTTAAGCTTTCTCAATTTTTCGGAAAGTTGCCATTGAGCAGATGTTGGTATCAACCGATAGGTCTGGGCTTGTATGAAGGCCAAAGCTGTAGTAGTTCCTGAAGGAAGGTGACTTCCTCTGCATTAAAAGAGCCCCCATTGATGCGCTTCTGCACCCAATAAACATGTACCAAAGACTACTCGTTGCCTCCGGTAGCGTGCGTCTCTCTCCAATAGAGATACCATCATGAGCTCTCGTTTCTCTTCGTTTGCGGGGTACAAAGCAAAGTACATCTTTAACTGGACGGTAAAATATTCAAAAATTTGACCAACGTGACAGTCCTCAGACTTTTCTGGTCAGCATGATCCCATTGCCCCATCCACTGGGATTGTATTGGCTGAAAATTCGTGCTTTTCTACCAGCTGGAGAGCTGCTTAGCTTGCCCCCAGCCTCTGCTGCCCCAACAGGCGTTGTATTACCGTCAAGCTCTACCTTCATAAAATGTATTACTCAGACTATTGCCAAAAAAATGGTATTGTATTACCAAAAAAATTGTTGGATTCCTGACAGCTGTGTTAGGGAACTTGAGTTTTCAGTGCATCCAAAGCCAGCGAAAGAACAGGGAGATAGCTGCACCGAATTATATGGCACACCCGAATGGAAAGCTTGATTCAAGGACTTTGACAGGAGACACTTAACTTCGGAGTCAGTAGGAGCTAAATGGAAGGCTGTTGAGTGCTTCTCAAAATTACTTTTTCCAACTCTGCAAGCACCCCAAAGAGAAACGGCACTCTTAGCTGTACCTACAAGCACTCCAAAGCATTCACAGGTAGATCCACGAAGCGTCTAGCGCACGCGCGCACAACACTGCATCTTCTTGCATGAAGCTAACCGCACACTACACTAAGCAGTGCATACAAACAACCAAACCAATTAATTATTCCTTTGCTAATACTTAATTAGTTGTCGGTAGTGCGGTGGAAAATGCGTCGTTGTTGCTTATCGCGCTCCCTTAGAAGGAGCGGTCCACCTTTGCCACGACCCTGAAGGTGGGGGAAGGCAAGGGGGGACGCTATTTTGAAGGTGCCGTTAGTAAGTTTCACTCAGGTTCCGTGTTCTGAATGGGCCCAAGTATCTGCCTCCAGAAACTCTCTATGTAACGTTCCCAGAAAGACTATCGGGAAGTTTTATGCTTTCTCCCCATGAGTTCCTTCCTCTCTTTGCCTCTTCTTCACATGCACCGGCCAGAGGCGAGGAGAGAGTGTGGGCTGGAGTGCGAAGTGTGGCTGCACTCCCAGGTTCCTCCAGAGCATTTGCACACCGATGTACAGAGTAACGGAGAGCACCGAATTGCAGCAAGTGCTCTCACAGTTTGTTTGCTGCCCCTGCTTCTGAATAAATGCAGTGTACGAAAGGCCAGATCACACAAGCAGGATTACGCGCTATGGAGTAATCCAGTAAATCAGCACGAAGTAATTGCATATTTGCAGGTTGGTTCACTATGAAACTTGCCAGCGAGGAATGCCGAATATTGTGTTCGCGTCCTTCCTCACTTCTAGACATTTGCTTTCTGTTTCGTCTAAAGAATTACCCGAGCAAGATTCGTTCAAAATAGAACCTCTCCCTGTCCTGCTCTTCAATGACTCGGAAGTCTCGATAGAGATGAGCCAACTGTGGGACTGCAGCAACAGCAGCTGCGCGCGCGCAGCCTCAGCGCGCCTTCAGGACAGCTTTCTTGCCCTGTGATGTTAGGATCTAGGCACAAATATGGTAGATTCCGCTGCATAAATCTTAGTTTTGCTTAAAGGAGAGGCCAATCGCGCCTTCGCAAGGGCAGGTTCCCCCTGCAGCCTTGGACCCCCCACACGGGGCACACGAAATTGCTGCATCTTCTTGTGATTTGGAACATCTCTTGGCCATTTTTTCTCCCGTTCCAATTTGTCTCCCAGTGTACATTGTGGCTCTCAATCCTTCATCAGGTCCTCTTTCGTGCATCGCTGCGCAGCGGCTTCTTCGGATTTCGCTGCAGCGCCTCAGCGTCCCACGTACTTGCCAGTAGGCTTTTCTCGTTGCGGTGTATGAGTTGAAGCGGCAGGATGTCAGGAGAGACGTTCCTCCTGTTTGAGTCTGCCCCAGGGCTGCTGCTGTTACGTGTGAAGCAGTGGGATGCAGTCGCTCAGGACACAGAGGCGGTGCAGGAGGCTTGCACAGACGCTCAGCGTTTCAAGCAGCTCATCTCTTCAGAGGCCTTTTATCCCTTTGCCGACGCAGCAGAAGCGCTGGAGACCCTCATGGGAGTGGCCAGTGGCATAGTTCCCCCGTCCATGCAGAAGTTTTTGGAGTTACACATGCCCGAGGCAGCCCGCAGCGGCGGAGCCTCGAGGAAGAAAAAGCATGTTTCGGGAGAGCATGCCGATTGCGCCTTAGGAGTCTGCGACGCTGCTTTGGGGAAGGCTTTGAGCGAGTTGGGCTACAAAGTCATTTACAGCCCCTCCATGCTTGAGCTGCACCGTGGCGTCCGCATGCATCTGCGTGCCTTGGCAAAGCCACTAAGGACTCTTCCTTTGGCAAAGTTTCAGGTGGGGTTGGGGCATAGCTACAGCAGGGAGCTCATGCAGGTGGATCCTAGGAAGCAAGACAAGCCCATCATGCAGTCGGTTGCGCTGATTGACTCATTGGACAAAACCATAAACAGCTTTTCGATGAAGCTTAAGGAGTGGTATGGGTGGCACTTCCCGGAACTTATTAAAATCGTCACCGACACGGAGGCTTATTGCAAGGCCGTCCTCATTATCAAGCAGAAAGAAGAGTTCGATGAGCAGGTATCACGACAGCTCCAGGCGGCTGGCAGAACGCGAGCTGTTGCTGCTGCTGCTTTCTGCACCGATGAACGCTGTTGGGAGTGGAGTGGTGCTGCGGCAGAGAGGCCTTTAGTCTTTTACCATCGTGGGCCTAACAGCACTGGGGCACGTTTTACGTCTAGCGTCAGGCAAGTGCAGCGCTGGTTTTTTGTAGCGCAACAACTGTGTGTGAGTGCGTTTTTGCTCGTTCGCACGCACTTCGCCTTCCGAGCACATCTGGCAAGCCTGCGCTGCGTTGCTGCGCGTGTGCAGGAAAATGGGCAGAAATTGCTGGAGGCTGTAGGCAACAGTGAAGAGGTTGCAGCCGAGGTGCTTACTTCCATCAAGCATTCTATGGGCCAGGAGATTTCGGAAGAGGACTTCGCCAACATTGAGCGATTCGCACAGCAGGTACGCCGATTCCGTCGGCTCAGCTGCTCGCGGCTTTTGTTGTACTTCTCGTGCATGCGTTTCAAGAGACACGCGCAAAGCCGGTAGAGGTTGGGGGCAGTGTCGGGTGCGGTGTTGAGACAGCAGCCTCTCAAGAAAGCAGAGGGCAGGTTTGCTTTGTGTGCCTGCACGAATCGGATTGAGTTCTGTGCTTGCGGCTGCTTTTTTTTCTCAGCTGCTGCGGCTGTGCGAGCAGCGCAAGGCGCTCCAGGAGTACCTGAGCGGAAAGATGGACGTCGTTTCCCCCAACCTGAAGGCTGTGGTGGGAGAGGTTCTCGGAGCCAGACTCATTTCGCATGCAGGCGCGCTCGTCTCGCTTGCAAAGTATCCTGCATCCACAATCCAAATTTTGGGGGCTGAGAAGGTGCGCGATCTCAGCGGCCGCTCTTGCGTGCGACGCTGCGACGCCGCTGTCGCTTCCCTTTAGGGTGTTTTGTTCTGCAGTAGCAGTACGGCCGTTGGCGCGTGGGCAATGCCTCTAGGCGTCTTCTCCTTCGACGGATCCTCCTGCGGATAGCAGAGTGTCGCTAGGCAGACAGCATGCATGTTGCTTCTCCGAGAAGCAGGAAAAGGCAGCAGCCAGCAGCAACCAACGCTGGTGCCTTTCCCTGCTTCTCAGAGCGATGCCTTTTCGTACTTCTCAGAGCGCTAGTTGAGTGTCGGACTTCGTGGCACGTTGTTCGTGTGCGGTGTGCAGGCACTCTTCCGCGCATTGAAGGCTCGCAGTGGGCGGACTCCTAAATACGGCTTGCTTTTCCACTCCTCCTTTATCGGAAGGGTGCAGCAGCAGAAGCACCGAGGTAGAATGAGCAGGTGCGACTCCTTGAAATGAGGCTGTGTACAGGCAGCTTTTTTCGCCTTGTCTGGCGGTGCAGTGCGAGTGGAATTTCTTTTCTTGGTGCAAAGGCGCTTTTTTAGTACTACGCTTTTAGATGCAGGCATGCCTCCTCGCTCTGCCTTGCAGCTAGGAGAGAAGGATTCACTTCCCTTCCCCCCTTAAAATTTGTGTCGGTGCTTGGAGGGGTGGGGTTTTGCGCGGCATGTGACCGTTTCGAAGATGGAAAACTCGCATTCCGTTGTTTCGTTTTATCGCGTCGTTCCCAACATTCTATGTCATTCTCTGTCTCTCTTTCTCTCTGTGTGCATTGTTACTCGCTGCTTCCGTTCTCTCTGCTTCTCCTAGCGCGCATTTCCTCCCTCGATGCTTCCATACTCGCGACGGTCCCCTTTCCACTCAAGTTTTCGCGCATGCCTGCCCTCACTTGCAGGTACTTGGCCTCGAAGTGCGCGCTGGCTGCACGCATTGACGCGTTCAGCGAGGAGGCTGAACGGCCCAGTGGAAACGTGCAGCGGAGCCACATTTTCGGAGATAAGCTGAGGGATCAGCTAGAGGAGAGGCTCAGGTAAGGCAAGAGTTGCTGGATGTCGCGCGGCGGGGTCCCCTTGGGGGTGTGTGTCCTTGCAGCTCCTCTTGTTTGAGGGAAGGTTTCTTATGGCCTCTGCGCTGCCCCTTATTCACGCATTCGTCTGCTACCGCTGTTGCGACTCAGGTACTTGGCCGACGGTATTGTGCCCCGCAAGAATCTGGACGTGATGCGGGAAGCCGCTGCGGAGGTGGAACTACAACGCGCTGCGGAGGCGAAGGCATTGAGGAAGGCTAAGAAGAAGGCCAAGAAGGCGGCAGCAGCAGAACCAGAAGCAGAAGCAGAAGAGATCGAGGCGGAGGAGCTCCGGAACAAGAAGAAGAAGCGAGCGAACGCAGAAGCGGAAGAGCAGACCGAGCAGGCACCAGTTCAGGTCAGGAAAAAGAAGCAGAAGAAACGATTAGAGGTGGAAGCTGCAGCATAGGAGAGCTCGCAAGAAGACTTAAGCAGCAGCAGTGCGGGCTACGACTTCAGAGAGGCAAGAACAGAGTGAGAAATGTGACAGCAGTCTCGACCAGTCCGTTAAACGTTTAGGGACTTTGGGGGTATTGTTTAACGCCACTCGCGAAGCCGAGAGGGAGAAAGAAGGGCTGCCTGCCTTCATTGCAGTGCATTAAGCACCTATTACGTGGCCCCCATTGTTTTTGTTCGGGGCGGCCTCTTTTCATAAGACAGATGATATGCGCAACGGCGCAGTTTCTCAGTTTTCGTCCACAGGAAGCATGCGTCTGGCAGAAACAGTCATAAAATTTTGCGATTAGGGCGATGCAGAATGAACACACTCAGCGCGGAAGCTCGGGTAGAGCAGGTTCGGGCAGGGGCCATGTCTTGCGCTACAACACATAATGTGCATCGTATTCTGTTCTGTCTAGGTTCACAGGCCTCAGCTGTAGCAGCTGAGGATACCAGAGGGGTGGTGGGGGGAGGGGGCACTCCTATCCTTAACGGCACCGGGCAGCTGACAAACAGTAGATAGAGCCTGCTGGCTTGTGTCTCGAATATTTCACAACCCACGTGCCTTTACAGGTATATCACTATTTAGCTGAGCACGGGGAGCCACGAACCGGCCCTATGGACGCACGCGCGTAGGCGCTTGCCTGTGCTATCCCACGTACAAAAATGTGCAAACGGCGATACCAACTGCGTCGCTATATTGCACCCAGCCGCTAAAGGCCACTAAAACTTGACTTGCAGCAGACTCCGCTAACCAACAACCCTGTTTGCCACTCCCCTCCCCCGCTGTTGCCCCCACGTGCCCCGGTGCCTGCACGCTTCCTCCCTGCACATATGCAAATCACCGCACGTTTACTTTGCCTTAACCATCAACTACCACCCACCCACCCTGGCTCTGACTAAAGATGCCCTGTAAAGCCCCTTAAGGACCCCGCGGAAAGGCCAGCGTAGTATACTCTCCTCTTGCATTTTTGGTGGGAGGCGGCTCGGCATACAAACGCGCACTCGCGCGACACTGCCGCACTCCAACCTCCCAAGGAGGCCCTGGAGCCGTCGCCAGAGAGGCTGACCCCGAGATGGGTTGGCCTGGAGGCTGTGCTGCCGTTTGTTGTTAGCTGCGTGCTTACAGGCAGGCTTGCGCATGTGCACTCAAAACTGCCCGCATGCAGTGAGGCTGCTTTGCGTTTGTGTCGCCCGACCACTCCAACACAGCTGCTTCCTTGCTGGTGTAACAGCAACCAGGACAGATACCCCGGTGCCAACTAGCGAGGCATGCGCGTGCTACCTACACACTTCAAGCAGGGACTGCAGCTGCCAAGACAGGCCCACACTGCCCCGTGGCATGCAGCTGCAGCATGCGCCGCCTCAGTGCGTCGCCACCGACTTCCCCGAGGCACCCGCACGTCAGCACCAAACCAGCAGCCTGCCGCAATTACTGGAAGCGGCCCTTACACCCTCCATGCCATCGGCAAGCCACATGCAACCAACAGGTTTGCAGCAGCAGCGGCCAACAACAAGGGGTCGGTCTCTATGCAAGGAGCAGAAGCGACGGACTGAGGTAGATTCGGCCGAAGGCGAACAAGGTTGCGTTCGCTTGTTGCGGCCTCCGTCTTGCGTCCCTCTTGAGCATGCAGCTACGCAGCTGTGCAGCAAAGAACAACTGCTTAAACGACTGCCTTGCCCTTCTGGCTAGCGAGCAAACCATGCAGCCTCTACTACCTTGCCAACTCAACATTCAGATGGCTGGCTAGCTGGCCACGTTTGCAGCAAAGGGAGGAATACGTCGTAATCACCATGTTGCACTCCGTATGCACACTTCCCCAAAGCCAAGGGAGAGGGAGCGGCGGTCGTCTCTCCCCCATCGTCCTCGCGTCCCTCCCGCTGGAAAATATCACTTCAAGCTTGTTACTCGCCTTTATTTGTTGATTCCCTTCTTCTTTTCCACGGGCTTTAAGATCTGCGACAGCGGAGGCCAGAAACGAGCGCAACGGCAGCGCACTCAACATACCCATACGAACACCCGCCACCCCGCGCATGGACGCACTCTAATAGCAGTTCCAAGTAACATTCCACGGGAGATTGTCCCCTTATTACCAAAGCATATTGAACGATTAACACGCACCCACCCAAGCACGCACGACTGCATGGTGAAAACACCTGCATTCCTACAAGCACGCCAGTGATGGGAAGAAGAAAAACTTCGGCTCACCTGAAATGAACACATGAGGGTCTCGTCCACGGACATCATGGCACCGGCGTTATCGAATTCGCCACAATAGTTGGGGGCGCTGAAGAGAGTCACCAGCTGCCTCTTGGCAAAGAACTCATAGCCGTCCTCCACCACCTACAAACACGCGCAAAACACCGACACCCCAATAAGCCTATTGGACTTCGCACCGGAGTTCCACGATGCGGCAAATTAAAGAGAGTCTAATAAAGACTGCAGGACTGAAGAGACACCTATCGAAAGAAGACTGCGAAAGCTCAGTAAAGGCGCTCGGTGAATACTACACTTTAATTCGACAGGTACGCACACACATATATATATAGACATACATATATGTCCACATACGTGTACACGCACATATGTACACACACACATGTTTACACATATATATATATATATATATATTATGCATGCGCTCATGCCAGGGTTGCACAACCAACCTGGTGGGCGCGGCAAATGAGATCTAAGTCGTGTTTGCGGAGGAAGTTGTGGACGACATCTTGTCCAAAGGTGAAGGAAACGCCTCGGTCGTTTTCCCCCCACCCCGCTATTTCCTTTTCAGGATCAGACCACAACAAGTCGCACAGAAGGCCTGTGCACCCGCACACCGAGAAAGACACGTGCAAAGCAGAGAACGAGATCGACAAGCAACATCGGAAAAAGCCGCATTAACGCATGAACCAAGCACACAGAAAGACAAACATCATCTTTAACGCTTTTTGCACGCAAGGCCGGACTACCGCACACAACAAGGCTCTAAAAGAAGAAGCCGCAAAGACAACCGGCTGGCGCAAAACTCCCGCCTCCCTCCTGTCCATGAGTAGTCCCTTTGCTTGCGTTTAGCTCTACGGCCCTCATGAAGAAAGCCAATGCCAAAGGACACTACCCCACACGGAAGGTACTGCGACTGCCAGGGAGAAAACGGAGGGGGAATAGCATTTAAAAACTGAAATGGGAGAAGAAAGGGTCCTTCAACGCCAATCAAAAGGGCGAAAACGCCTTTCTGTTCATGCGGTGCACAGCTACGAGCTATTGTATGCTGGAAATTGACCATGGAGGTGACCCCTCGAGATATCTTGAAAAGAACCAAGGAGAAGTGTGGGGATAAGGGCAGGAATACACTCAAAGAAACCAACTCAAAATACAACAGAGAAAGCTCAAAGCAGAGAAGTTGATAATTCGCTCACCGGTATCAGGGACGTCAGTGGGGCGAACGATTCGCCTGACCTGATCCATAGAGTTCAGTTCAGGAGACAGCCCCCCATGCATGCAGAGGATCTTCTCATCAATAATGGCAGCCACCGGGAGGCAGTTGAAACAATCTGTAAAGGTCTTCCACAGCTTGATGTTGTACCGGCGCTTGCCTGCGCGCCACGCACAAACAGCGGAGAAATTGCAGATCCACACAGCGAAAAGTTCAAATGCAGGATACAAACAACGGAGAATCTGCACACCAATAGACCGAGGAGGTCAACAAAACTCCAAAAGCCATGCGCATGTATGTGCAACACAAGATGAGGCAGCTTTTACTGTGGCCACTTCGCTGCGTCTACAGGTGAAAAGCGCATCCCCAGATGGCTCCACAGGCACATAAAGGATCCTCCCCCACACTGTAAGCAGCCCATCTGCTTTTAACCATACCCTTTGTGCTCTTTTGCCCCCCCATTCCCTCTTTCTCTCATTTTTTCCCTCTCTCTGTCGCTCTCCCTCTCCATTCGCCGCCCCCTCTCCAAATACCCACACACCAACACCAGCTCCGTACAAATCAGTCAACAGAACCCTCAACACGCCTCCCCAGCTACCACATCCCCCCTCCCCCCTAGCCGGTCCTATAGCAGCGCACGCACATGCAAGCCACCCCCCTTCCTCCCGCCAGCTCTACACGCCACAATAGCCGTCTGGGGGACAGCTGGTAACCAAAGCATGCATATGCCAAAAGAGCAGAAAGAATAAGACGATTTTTTTCTTGGGAAGTAGTTTCTCCCTTCTCGCACTCTAAAGTACGCGTGCATATTCGCCCGCCTGCCTGCCTTACATTCATCGTAAAATCCGTAAATGCGGTTAATGGACGCGCATTCATGATTGCCTCGAAGCAGAAAGAAGTTTTCTGGATACTTGATTTTGTAAGCGAGAAGCAGACAAATCGTTTCCAGGCTCTGCTTGCCACGGTCCACATAATCCCCTAGGAAGAGGTAATTGGCCTCCGGTGGAAATCCGCCATACTCGAAGAGGCGCAGGAGGTCATAGTACTGCCCATGGATATCCCCACAAATCTTTATGGGGGCTTCCAGTTCCAGCAGAATCGGCTGGGCTATAAATATTTCTCGACTCTTCTGACACAGCCCCCTAATCTCAGCTTCAGTGAGTTGCACCGGCTTGCCTGGTCGGCTTCCCCGCACCTCTAGCAGCTTGCTGATGACTGCATCCACGTCCACATCCGTTGTTGCCGCCATTGCCGCGAACGGAGGAGAGGCAAAGACACAGAGATGAATAGAACACACAGGAGCCGCAGAGCATGCGCCCCCGACAGGGAAACAAAACAGCGGCCGCGCAGGAGTCAGAATCACGCACAAGCTCACCCCTACGAACTGACCCCAAAGCCGCTGAGGGAGAGAAAGCACAACTGCGGGGAAACGACTTCAGCCAAACAAGCCGATATAGTCCCCGCAGTATCGAAAAGAAGATACAGAAGCACTAGGGCCCTATCCTGCTGACCATACCCCCATGCACGCACGCAGATATGGTAATGCCGACCTCTAGAATGCGCAGCAGCGTCACTGACTGTATACCCCTACACCCTGTCCACAAGCCCTTGACCGTTCTATCGCGGCCTTTCCTGTGTATAGAGACGACGAGCACACAGCCGCTGTATTGTGCATATATATATATATATATATATATATATATATATATATATATATATATATATATATATATATAGGGATGTGGCGCAGCAAGGACTGCTATAGGGTGACTTCAGCCCGCACTTCTGAGCAACTCTGAGCAAGCCACACCAGCTTCTGAACTTGCTCAGAGCAGATCGACGTGCTACACGGCTGCATGCGTCTTCTGCAGCAGCGCCTTCCTGCAGTAATTGTCTGCTCGCTGCGAAGGCCAGGACGTGCGAACACAGTCTAGCCGACACCTCTTGCGGCCACTCGATCTTTTCTTCAGTTCACTTGGATACTGCTGCTGGAAATATGATTAACCACTCAATTACTGCCGCTGTTGCAATAAGAGAATGAACGGTGTGAGTCGTGTGCTGTTGATTCGCAGGAGCACGCCGGCCTCGATACGCGGTAGCATGGTGAAGCTAAAAGGCCGATATAGCGGAAATTACGGCTCTATGCCACATACGGAGCTACTGCTGGTGTTGCTGCTGCTTAGAGGACCCGCAAGAAGCCGCTACTGCCAGTGCGGCGGCAAGGGCAAGGAGGCTGCTGCTATGCTGGACAGTATACCCGCGCTGCTGGGGAGGTACAAGCAGACAAAGCCGTTCCAAGGTAAAGCCGCAGGCAGTCAATGCTGCGCTGCACGCAACCGGAGACTCCCGTGCTGCTGCTGCTGCTGCGCGTGCCGATTGCCACCCAGGTGTGGCTGCTGCTGCGGCTACTGCTGCCAAGCCTGCCCGCAGCGCCTTGCCCTGTCTGCTGCTCACTACACAGCAGGATGTGAAAGGAAAAGTACGTAGAGGAGACAAAGGACCCCCCGAACCAGCAGCAGACTGCAGCTCTACGCCCCGCCTTGGGCCCCTAGCCTGCGGCTGCTGCTGCAAGCAGCAGCAAGCACCCTCGCCTGGCTGCTGCTACGACTACTGCGCGCACATTCGCCACACACCTCATACTACTGCATTCATCATGTGTATACATCCCCCTTTCTTCTAAATTTCCAGTGTAGGAAACCCTCATAAAACGGCATTTCCTGGTGCTGCCGTAGCTGTGCAGCCCAACTGTAGCGCAGCTACAGTTCTGAGGCAGCGAGGGGCAACCAGCGATGGCTTGTTAATTGCCGCAGCTCTAGCATTCCCTAGCTTTAAAATACACCCCAAGCACATTGTAAGACCTGCATACAACTACTTTTTGCATGAGTTGACATATGAGCAATTAAACCGCTTGCAGGAGTCCTGTAGTGGTGCCTCAATGCCATCCCAGCCCTGCGAATGGCGTCCACACCGCAGGCATGCCGATCACAGCGCTTTATTCTAAAAGACTCTCATTGTACTGAGTGGCAGCTCACTTCTTCCGTGCCAGGCTGAGGCAGTAGCTTCTGAGTTTGTTCTTGAGTCGAGAAATTGCCTTCATAGTCCGAAGCAGTGTGTGTAGCTGGCCGAGCAACACCTGGAAGGCGTAATTGCGCTACTTATTCTGGATTTTAATTTCGCAAGGCAGCTACTGTAGGTCTTTGCCATAAAAATATTCGAATTGGTGCAAAGCAGGGGTATTGTCATATTTTGTAAACGTTGTATGTGTGCGCGGCGAGTTTTGCTGTTGCGGGCTAGCCTTCTGCAAGGGTAACTCTCTGTCGAAGGCCTTCGTTGGGGGAGACTCAGCTCGAGACTCAATACAAATCTGATCGATAGTAATTCTTTACCAAAAAGGACTCGATCTTTTTTTGTCCGCAACGCTTAAAGCCCCCTACATGGGGGAAGAGGGACAGTACAACGCGAGCTGCGGCACCCTACAAGGATTGCGAACACTTGCAAGTCGCTGCACATGATATCTAGCGTACTTGAAGATAAAGATGGGTCTTTTTGTATCAAGCTAGCAGTACTTCGAAAGAACATACACGAACAGTCAAACTACTCAGCCAATCCCCTGCTAGTTCTAGGTACTGACAGGCGGCGCAGTAGAATAGGTTTAACTGTAGATTGACCCACTCCATCTTTCCTCGAATGCAGAGCTAAGCTCCACATGCTCCTCCCTTGTTTTTCGAGACCAGAGCCATGCAGGCCAGCGGGAACATTCCCCATCTATCATCATTCCCAAGTCAGGCAAAAGCGCCAAAACAGTGCAAAGCAGGAATCACAATGTGCGTGTAAACCGCTAAAGTGAAATAAACAAGGGGGAAGATACACAATAGCCAACAAGGAACGAAGGGCCAAGCTAGTGCGACAGCGGGAAAGCGCTGGCTTGCAGTCATTGGAGCGCTGAAATGGCCGAGAGCATCCTGCTACGAGAACACGAAAATACCTCAAGTGTGTGAAGGGGATCAAATTACACACTACTTCAGCAGTGCCTCCGCGTCTCGCAGAGCAATGGCTAAATACAATTACAGCCGAGGCATGCAGCAGACTCGATTTTAAAGGCCTCAAGAGGAACAAGGAAGAATGCAGGGATTACATAGCTGAGGGTGCCAGAGCGTGAATGAAAGTACAGGACATCTTGACAGTAGTGTCTAAGAACTTCTCAAGCAATACCGTATGTAAAGATAAATATTTCAGGCGGGGCATGCGCCGGAGAAGGACACTTACCATGCAACGTGAGGAAAGGCGTCAATGGCGACTAGCGCTGTTAACAAATAGAGCCGCAGAGTCTCCCGCACCCAAAAAGTCAGCAACTGCTCCTTGGTTAGCCACGGAGGTTGGCGTCCCCCACTTCATTTCACTACGAATTCCAGTCTGGCATGTCCTCAACGCTCATTCACCCTAGAACTCACCACCGCTAAGGCTTCCTGTGGATCCTACTTCCCCACACGGGTCGCGTGTCTGCGCTGCAGGATCCACAAAAAACTCAGGTAACTTTGAAGTTTAGAGAGCCAATATTGATAGTTCTGCGGCGCCGGCACCTGTTATGTCAATCGATAGACTGAGGAAGCGCATGAATTCGCGAGAGAAAAGCAAACGGCCCCGCCGTGTAGACCAGCAATGAAGGAGAGTAATGGGCATAAGACTCTACTGGCGTCAAATAAACCCATTCAGCACATGGCAGAGAAGTAAGAAACTCAGGCCAAGAAATTACGCGTTTGCTTGCATAGAGCCGCGCATACTCTACAGGAGTGCAGCTGGTGTGGTCGGTCTGTCCATTTGCCTTAAGCCTGTTGGTAGTGGCCATAGTACGACTACTAAGTAGGTGGGTCATTGAGGCGCGCCGGAACGCACTAACAGACTTCCAATTCGCAAACTTGTACTTCTGGGGCGTGTGTAATACCTCCAGGCATGAGCTGAGAGTAGTCGAGCACTTTTATAAGCCGGGAGAGAGCTGCACCGAGGACTGAAAGCAGCATATTTGCAAGGTATGTCGAGAACGGTAGTCATGTATTGGCCCTTGATGTCAGGCAGTTGAACAATCAAGTCCATAATTAGATGAGTTAAATTGTTTGGAGAGCCCAGAGATTTTGCGAAAACACCATCTTCGGAGAATTTCGTGGCTTCAGCTGCTGACAAACTGTGCATGATCCTGCACTCTCCTATGCCGCGGGACGCTAGACCACAAGCAGGAAAATGAGAGCTCTTTGATTGCATTATGAATCCCATCATGGCCCAAAAAACGTTATCATGGACTTTGTACAACAGCTTTGCGGAATGAAGTCGGTATGTACAGGCAACGGAGAATCTGCTTTGTTATGAACCACGGCAGGTCGTGCTCGAAATAGTAATGGTTCACTTGTTGTTTGACATTCTGGATTTTGGCAAAAGTTGCTGATGCATGGGTGTCGTGAACCATGAGATCCATGCAGTGTTGAGAGAAACGGTAATTGGTCACAGGCAAGAGCGTTCACGCTACAGAGGAGTGAAGCGCTGAAGCACCGCTAGAGGGCGTTGGCGACCATGCTGGTGATGCCTGTAGGAACACTTCACTGTCAAGTCGTACTGCCTGAGGCGCGTGAGACGGAGAACAATTCAAATGTCGTTAAAGCTCTGAAAATTTCTTCTTTAGCTGCACTAAAAAAATGATGTTTGGTCTGAGCAGCAAATTGACGCTCATATAAACAGTGCGGGCATTTCCTGCGCCCCACCACAGGAATTAGAGTTCTTTTTTCGCGCGGGATACCGCTGCTCGGTTTCGGTGAAACCATAGAAAAGAAAAACACTAGGTTGGTGCACTGAAGAAATCGTATTTCGTTGGGAGCGGCTTGCACCCATCGTTACATCACGTGCGTCGGTTGTTTGGAAGGAATGCCACTTCTTATCGGGCAGTGCAAGTACCGCAGGAGTTGTATGCAGCCGATAAGAGTGCGTTTGGCGGCATCAGCTTCCTCGATCGAAGTCGTAGGCTGCTCTTTCTTGAAAAGAGACTGTTAATGGATAAGAGTTCCGATCAGACCCAGCAGCGGATTTTTGGAAGGAAGATGAAAGTTCATAGAAGTGTGCAACGTTCTTGCGGGTGCGCAAAGGTAAAGGTCACTGCGTGACATTCAATTTTGCCCGAGCTGGCTCAATCCCTGCAGTGAAATCACTGAATCAAGCAGGGAATTTTTCGCAGGAAACACGAACATTTGTGTGCCCTGTTGTAGG